CCTACTTATTCTAAGAATAAAATAACAGCTTTCTTCATATAAAATCCCAATTCTAGAATCATTGAAAAGAGAAACATATAATAACTCCATTATTTGAGGGTAAAAAAAACTTCATTTATTTGTTGAAAAAAATTTAAGGTAGCAGGCAACACAAATATTTTCATTATTAATTATTTGAATTTATAGGTACAATGATAGTGATATGGTCTACTATTTAATATTTTAGATACAATTATAGTAATAAAAATTACTGACCACAAAAGGTGGCATCCTATTTACAATTTTTAAATGATTTGTCAATCACCCTCTGGAATATTAAGTAACTTGCCTTTAAGAAATTAATGTTACAATTATATTTGACATTGCTAAGAAATTAATCCACTTGTTTTAAATATTATTCTAGTACCAAAAGACGTCAAATATAGTCATGCTAACTTCCACTTCTTATTAGGAGCCAAAAGAAGACATTGCTGGCTGTCAGGTACGTTATGATTCTTCCTATATATAACTGAAATATTGGAATGGTATTGGTGATGGAAAATTGTTTTCCATTTTAGAATATTCTTACAAGAAATGCAAAAGAATGGACCTTCATTGTATCCTAACGTTAATTTAATAATAAATTAATACTCTGTATAAATATAGATGTATAAATGTTAAATCATTTAGTAATCTGAGTCTTGAGGGGTGCCAGCTGGGCCAAATTTACTGTCAACTTTATTTTACATAAAAATATAACATTTAGTGGGACAATACATGACCCAAATAAGTTTCTTTTTTTCCTAAGTTTTTTCAAAATGAAGCTATAGTTGTTTGATGAAACGTGTTTAAAACTCTGCTTAGAAGTTATATTCTATTGAAGATGTATCGGCCTTAATGCTTGCTGAGGAAGTTTTTATATATTCCCTAAATGGATACAATGGGCTATAAAAGAAGTAAATGCAATCTCTAATTTCCATATAAATACTGAAAAAATGGTGGTTTGGAAATTAGGTTCAGAGATGAATCTTTAAACGGCAATTTTCCTCTCAACTATAGGTGGAATTTTAGGTATCTGAAATGAAAATGCTATGAAAGCAATAAAATTAAACTGAAAATAACAAGATAAAAGATTTTGAAATTTAAATTTTTGAGGACTTCTCATGTTATACGTTTCCCAAAACTTCTTTCTATTTGTCAAAGCAAAATAGACAGAAACTCGCTGTAATCACCCCCTTTCTCTGTAAGACTTCCCTGACAGGGAAGCTACAAGTTTTGACTACACTTAAACCCACTGCCAGACTAACTAGAAGAAAGGAGTAAATTACAACTCCTTCTTTCTATTTTTAGACTGAGAATGCTTTAACGATTCATAATCCCAGCACCTAAACAGAACTTGACACACAGTTTGCTGAATGAAGGAAACAGAAGGTGCCTGTGGGATTTAAAAATATGTATTGGCCAGGTGCAGTGCCGCATGCCTGCAATCCCCGCCCTCCGGGAGGCTGAGGTGGGCAGATCACTTGAGGTCAGGAGTGGAGGACCAGCCTGGCCAACCTGAAACCTGTCTCTAATACGTAAAAAATACAAAGAATAGTCAGGCGTGGTGGTGCACACCTGTAATCCCAGCTACTCTGGAGGCTGAGGCAGGAGAATCACTTGAACCTGAGAAGGGGAGGTTGCAGTGAGCTGAGAGCACACCACTGCACTTCCAGCCTGGGTGACAGAGCATGACTCTGTCTCAATGCATTCATATATAGGTACAAACATAAGTATTGTATAATACCTTTCTTCAAGAGGTTACTAAATGATTAAGAGGGAGAGAAGCATAAAAATAGCTCTGTGTCCCCATTGTATGAGAAACAAATGTAGCGACCATCATGCTGTTTCACTTGGAGGTTTAGTATTTAACCCTACCTAATTTATTCATTCATTCAAAAATGTGAGGAATAAAAAATTACTATGATGCACACAGTTCATGCCTTCAAACTGGTCTCACAGTGTCTCATGAGTCTTTCGAGATTCAGATGCTTGACCCTTGATGATCTTTTAGCTTCCCTTTGCAAGTTTAGCCAAATATAAATCAGTATGAAGCAAAATAAAAATTCTACTACAATATTCAAATCACATATCGTCGGCGTTCACACTGCTTACAGTTTTTTTATTATTTTTGACATAATAATTGTACATATTTATAGGGTACAGTGTAGTGTGTTACACAGTTTTACTTCATTTTTTTTCTAAATGACACAAATGAAAGAATTGAGATAGGCTTGTCTCATTTTTAACAAGCTATTCTATAATTATGTTCTATCTGTCGCAGTTTCTGTTCCTGGTTCAACTCATGGAAATGAGAACACTCCCTGAAGAACCTCTCCACAAAAATTTTCTTCCTCAAAAGTTTTCAGTGAAGCAACGCAGAAGGAGAATAAGGGACGGTTGAGAACGGGACTTTTTTTTTTTTTTTTTTTTGCCAAGGCTGGACTGCAATAGCATGATCTCTGCTCACTGCAACCCCCACCTCCCGGGTTCAAGTGATTGATTCTTCCACCTCAGCCTCCCAAGTAGCTGGGATTACAGGTGGGAGCCACCATGCCTAGCTAATTTTTCTATTTTTAGTAGAGACAGAGTCTCATTGTGTTGGCCAGGCTAGTCTCACACTCCTGACCTCCCGAAGTGCTGTGATTACAGGCATGAGCCACCGCACCCAGAGAACGGTATATTTTTTAAAGTAACAGGAAGAAAGGAGAGAAGGAAGAAAAGGAGGAAGGAAGAAGTCCAGTTTCTATGTAGTCAAGGGCCATGCTACAGAATTTCACTGAACGTGAAGCGGTATATGAGGAGATACATTCTTTCGATAAACACCTTCAGAAGATGGGCTGAAGGGGGTCTTCCTAGTCTGCCCGGTAGCATTGAAGGTTCATTTTCGTATACTTCCACTGCTTGGATCCCTGCTTACTAGTGGCACACTCTGCCCTGTGTTTCTATGTCCATTCCCACAACTGGATGGTAAGCTCCAAGTCACATCTCACCCAGCTTCTTTCCACAGTCCCTAGCCCTCTGCAAGGTCAAATAAAAAGCACCTCCTTATAAGGAAAAAAAAAAAAAGGTAAAGTGGAAAGGAGAATAATTGAGCAGGATTTCAGTTCCACATTGCTAGTCTTAATAATTGTTTAAGTCTTCTGTACATGTGTTCAATAAAGTATTATTTGATTGATATAAAAAACAAAGATTTGGGAGATATAGGAAATGACACAGTGACGTGTTTATAAAAATTCAAGAGTTAGTTTTCATGGTAGCACTACAATAATAGCTAAAATTTTTCATTTTCTAAGACCTGTATTCAATTTCATATCCCACAAAGATCATATGTTCATACACTATTTTATCCCTCATTATATAGCAAACTGAAATGTGTATCTTTATTTATGGAGTGCTTAAGCAATGCTCAGCCACACTTTTGAAAGTGTCAAACAATGTAACTCTTCAAATGTTTGAGGTTTATAAAAACTAAATTATGCTATGTCAAGCTATTTTTAAGCTTAGTCTTGATATTAAATGCCAAGATTGAGAAGAAAATGCTTGTTTCTGATTTATTATTTGTCTCTTTCCCGCCCTCTCAATCTACACTTATAGGCATACATATACAAACACATTCATATACATGTACTTTAAAAATTATTTCATATTTCAGCGCAAAAGCCCTCATTTTAAAAACTTTAACACTATAAAAAATAAAATTTCTGAAACTTTAAAAACTAGTGAGGAAGATTACCTATACTTCTAATACCATAAGATTTTAATAATAATGATAAATTTTTATTCACTGTTATCAGACATTTTGGAACTTTAAGATAACATGTTCAGACATGAATAAATTTCCCCCAAAATAGTATTTTTGTGTTTTTAATATAAAAGTTATACAACAAACCTGCACGTTCTGCACGTGTACCCCAGAACTTAAAGTACAATTTTTTTAAAAAGTTACACAGTTAAAATCATATAAAATTAATGGACACAATAAAAACAATATGCACAGAAATAAGTCAAGTTTAGCCAAATATAAATCCATTTGAAACAAAATAAAAATTATACTACAATATTCAAATCAAAAAACCAAATACATTAATATACATTCAATTTGAGAAATAATTTATTTGGTTTTATATTCCCTTTGGCCTCTAGTCCTTTATTCTGAATCTAACCGCTTCTGAAGCAGTCTCCGCATTAAAGAAATGTGTTTCAGAGACTAACAGAGCAACACGCAAATGGTCTGCTACTGTAGAAAGCTACTTCGCAGAAAATTTAAACCACGATGTGCTTCAAATGCCAAGACCTCAAAAGTTAAAACTGTGGTTCTCCTCAGGAGGCGGAGGTTGCAGTGAGCCAAGATCACACCATTGCACTCCAGCCTGAGTAACAAGAGCGAAACTCCAAAAAAAAAAAAAAAAAAAAAACTGCGGTTCTCCACTCATTTTCTCATTTCATGAGCATTTAGATCAAAAAGCTTTTACTGAAAGCTTACTCATGACAAATCTTCTGGAGTCTAAGAATGAATGAAAGTCAAATGCCAAGTCCACAGTGCTTTCCCAATATAAAAATTGTTTTTATATTGGCTTCTTTTTGTAAAAGATTTATTTTTGTAAAAGACTTCTTTTTGTAAAATGTAATGTTTATCTTTGAAATGTAATAACATTTTTCTATTATTTCATAATGTCTTTCTAATCTCTAAAAATAATCCTTAAATAAAATCAAGTATAATATTGACTTCTGCATTTTTTCAATGTGGCTGTATATAAATCAACTGAATTCTCAATATTTGCTGTTTTTGTTTTTAATTAGCCAAGGATCTTTCTTTTGTATTTATTTCTTCTTTAACTTACTTTACCTTTGAAACGGAACAAGTCTGATAGAATTAAAATGTTAATTTTTGTCTACTTTATATTTCGCTCTCTAGAATACATTAAATGCTTGGTCTTTTGCCGTAAGATAGAAAAAGCTTGTTTAAAATGAGATCTTACCTTCTGATTTGTTGTTCTTCCTCTTCAGCCATTTCTCTACTGTCTCTGCACTAACACTTTCAGATACAAATTCATCTAATACCTGAGGGTGAAGAGAAAGATATGCCTTCACTTTTTCATCGGTCAAGCCTGTAAAAGAATTGAAAAGAATAAAATTCACCTATATAACATCTTCATATAGATGAAAGTCATAGTATAACAACACGTTATGCTAAGACCCAGCAATCCCTAATCTAATGGAGAGAGGGTTGGAAAGAGTGGGAAGGGGAGGTTACTGCTTAATGGGTAGAGTTTCTATTGGGAATCACAGCAAAGTTTCGGAACCAGACAGGTGAATATTGCCCAACATTATGAATATACGTAATGCCATTGAACTGTATGCTTAAAACATCATTTAAAATGGTTAAAAAAGCATTTTTCGTGTGTGTGTGTGACCATAATAAAAAAGTTTAGCAATTTTAAACTACAGATATTACATCATGTTACATAGCTGTTTTCTAACAATAAACTTCAGAGTTACACACAAATCAATGCCAGGATCAAACGCTGTACATTAAGAACTACAGAGTATTTAATTTTTCGGTGTATAGTTACCATAGATTTAGTGGTCAAAGCAGGTGAAACTCTAGCAAGAGCAATAAACAGGAAAATGTAGCACTAGAACATTATAGGTGCTAAAATAATGTTTAATAAATAAATTCTTATCTTTTATTGCCTTACAACACAAATCCCTACTTTTTCTCAAAGGCATTAAACTCAGTGGCATAACTAATGTTCAGTTCTGAATAATCTTAACATTTGTCCATTAATATTCTGTGTATGTAGTCGGCTTCACTGAAATGGTTTTCATAGTCTAATGATATATACTGAATTTACATAAGATTTTCAAACAAAGTACTTTCACATGTTTTCATATCTTACATATAAAGTATATGTTTTCAATTTGGTGCTTTGTGTTGGTATGCCATTTCACTAACCCAAACACAAACAGGCTTTGAATAATTATCCTTCCGTGATGGTAATTATTTTTACTACTATATCTTTTCTATGAATTATTTGAATAAATTACTCTTTTTGGACATTGTTAGGTTTTAAAAAAAGGCAATGAAAAATTGTACTCTGAGAAAGAAAAGAAGGAAGCATATATTTATGACTCCAGAAAGAAAGCTGTATGTTTTCCCAAACAGACAAAGCGGAGAATTCATATGTTTTAATTAATTCTGCTGGGAACTGAAGTCACAACTGTTAGAATTCTGCAGCAGAATGCTATCACTGAAAAGGAAAATGACTTCTTTCAGTGAAATTTGTACTTAGTCAATTTAAACACACACACACACACACACACACACACACACACACACACACACAGAGTTGTAGAAGATAAATGAAAATGAGACCTCTGGCTATATTCACCCTGCAGAAGAGCCCCAGTGGTGTAAAATTCAGTGTAAGAAATTCTATAAAATGCTAAAGATAATTGATTCAATAAAGTAAGTGTTCTCCTGAGACAGCAAATTATAGTCCCTAGAAACAAAAAGTGCAGGATACTATAGTAAACTGACAGCATACTTGACCTTTGAGAAGACAGATAAAGCAAATTTCATGTTCTATGTCCTCCATATTCAATACTTGATTCCTTCTTAATATTTTCTTCTATCATTTCCATGACACGGCCATAGAATTCTTGTCCTAACTTTCTAATTGCCCTTGAATTCTGCTTTCTCTTCAATAATCGATAATGATGACACCAAAATCAAGTATCTTAACATATTTTTAATCTCCAGTCTAGCTGTTTTCCCATCACCTCAAGCACCATCTTAAGTCAAAACTACATGAGTTGTCTCCTTCATATTTCTTCCCAAAGAGATTTTAATTCTTGGTTTTCCTTTTTGTGTTGCCATTATTCTCCATTTTCTCAGAAACTTAGGCTGAAAAATATAGTAATAACTGACTCATTCCTCCTAGTCATCTCATTTCATCTTAGCACATTACCGTACAAGTCATATTTGCCAAATTACATATCAAAGACATGCATCCAAAACAAACAAAGAAACTCTTTAAACTCAACAATAAGAAAATAATCAACCCAACTGAAAAATGAGCCCAAAGATTTGAACAGTCACTTCAGTAAAGAAGATATAGATATGGCAATAAATATTTAAAAAGATGATCATTTGTTAATCTGGAACTAAAGTTAAAAAAAAAACGAGATTCTACTACACACCTATTAGAATGGCTAAATTAAAAAAAAAAAATTGACAGTGCCAATTGTTAGCATGGATGCAAGGCAACAAAAATTCTCATTTAATCCTGCAAAATGCTACAATGACTTTGAAAGACTGTTTGGCAGTTTCTTACAAAGCTAAATATAGTCTTTCTGTATGACCCAAAAATCACACTAGTAAGCATTTACCCAATGGATATGAAGACTTATGTCCACACAAAAACCTGCATGTGAATGTTTTTGGCAGCTTCACCCATAATCACCCAAATCTGGAAGCAATCAAGATGTCCTAAATACACAAATGGATAAACAAACTGTGATACATCCATACAACTAAATATTTCGCACTAAAAAGATATGAGCTAACAAGCCATGAAGTAACATGAACGAGTCTTAAATGTATTTTACTATGAGAAAAAAAGCCAGTCTAACAAGGATACATATTATGTAATTCTAACTATATAACATTGGAGAAAAGGCATAAGCTGTGGAGGTAGTAAAAGATCAGTGACTGCCAAGAGTTCAAGGGGAAAGGGCAAATTATGACTGGGTAAAGTACAGGGGACCTTTTAGGATGATGAAACTATTCTGTAAGACACTATAATGATGAATATGACACTATGCATTTGCCAAATATCTGTAGGACTTTATAGCACAAAGAATAAACTATCATGTATGTAAATTTTAAAAATCACTTACAACGTCAGGGGCTCTCAGGATGGAAAGCATAATGCAACAAAAGAATTTAAATGTATTACACATGCATAAAACAACCTCCTTCAAGGGGGTGGCAGAGGGCAAGGTGTTAACCTGAATAACTTTGAAAATAAGTGGAGTCTGTGAGTCCAAATGCAAAATAAACTGTACATAAGCACCATACTCTAGTTGACAAAGTTGTTATCCCAGGAGGGTACAGTTTAACACTGGCCAATTAAACAAATGAGTGGTAGATGGTGGAAACAAGATTTCTCAATGGTAGAGTGGGGTGTTACAGATTTAAAAAAAGGAAGAGTTCAGAACGATCCATGTGGTAACGAATTCGAGTTGGAGACATTACTGAACTCATGTATGACAATACAAGTAAAAGTAGTTACATATAAGAATACTAAAAATAGTTACATATCAGAATACTGGTAGATGTGTATATCTAGTTAATACACACACGTCTCGCTTTGCTGTGTTAGCTGAGAGGGCCCAGAAGCAACAATATCCCAGTGTAATTGCATACATATGGCACCCAGAGCTTGGCTTCTAATATCAGTTGTCTACAATAAAAGGAACCAAGACTCCATGAAGAAACAGCTAAATTTAGGATAAGAACAGAAAATGCATAAGCTTGGAATAGCCTATGATTTAAAATTTGCCATCAGCAAATCACATAGACTAATACAGATAACTATTCCAAGGTAATTGTGTATATTTGGATAAGTGTATTTTAAAATATAACATTCCTGCTAACAAACTACATCCTTTCATCTATGTAACATTTTGTCGCAGTGCAAACAGATAAAATTAATTAAACTGACTGTCATCTTTATTTCATTTTTCAATATCTGGCAGAAGTACTAATAAGCAGGGGCTGGTTAAAAGCAATGAGTGATAGAAGAGAAGCACACAAGTATTGATAGACTAAATGATAAGGGTAAGTTAGGAAAAGCTGATGAATTTCATTAATTTTCACAATGCAATTTGCAAGTGCCCACTGAAAATGTCACAAAAAATTACAATCTAAACAAAAGCAAACTGAAAAACAGAGTGATACATGTAGTGGTTAGATTTAACACTGACCTGAAGATACATAACAAATGGCATAATAAAGACTGATAAATATTTTAGTAAAGGTAATTGCTTCTGTGGCTAACAATTCAGCTAGCAACCTGACGTCTGGATAAGAAATAACTTTGTTTTCTTACTGAGTATCTCTTAAAGAAATAGAGAAAAGCCATATCTATAGCTCTACTTCAACATTTTGACATTGAACCATAGAGCAGTAATGAAAAGGATTGGCACCTTTGAGTTTCCATAAATATTAATGCAATATATCAGCAACAAAATAACACCAACAATGATGCATTTTTTATCTTTTTTAAAATATAGTAGTATTGAGGCTACTTTTCTTCTGTCTTTAGGAAATCTTACACACTTCTAATAATGTAACATGTTATTACGCTACCCTCTTGGTTTTTGCTTTCTGCAAGCCACAAATTCAACTATCTTTTTCAGATGAAGATTCTGTACATGTACGCATATGTATAAATATACATTTAAAACTTTTATCAAACCACACAAAAAATATAACAGCCCTGTGTATTCAACAGCCAGCTTCCACAATTACGAATTCATAGTCAATATTCTCCATCTCTACCCGCTACTCTCCCCTCATGTAATTTTGAAGCAAATCCCAGAAATTACTTTAATATATTAATACATTTCAACATGTATCTCTAAAAGCTAAAACTATTCTAACCACAAATGCTACTATCACACCTAAAGATAAATTATTATTATTATTATTATTTGGAGACAGAGTCTTACTCTGTTGTCCAGGCTGGAGGGCAGTGGCGCGATCTTGGCTCACTGCAACCTCCACCTCCTGGGTTCAAGCGATTCTCTGCCTCAACCTTCAGAGTAGCTGGGATTACAGGTGCCTGTCACCATGCCCAGCTATTTTTTTGTATTTTTAATAGAGGTTGGGTTTCACCATCTTAGCCAGGCTGGTCTTGAACTCCTGACCTCGTGATCCACCTGCCTCAGCCTCCCAAAGTGCTGGGATTACAGGCATAACTCACCACACCTGGCCCTATTATTTTTAATTCCATCAAAAAATACCCAGGCTCTAAATCTCTATAGTTTTATTTGTATTTTTTTACAGGTTGTTGGTCTGAACTAGGACATAAGTAAATTC